AAACTCATCGGTGACGGGGCTCTCTAGTACGGCGGCTCCTTCGGCTCGTGTTGAGGTTGGGTGTTTTGCTCCGGTCAACTTATAGAGAAGAAAACGATGATTACAACGGTAGAAAAATCACATCGAATGGGAATCGGGAAGGGTCTCATTAGAGACGTTTTTTGAAATACCCTACGGCGGCGCTGCTGGGCTTTGTTAGCGTTTTTCGGCCAATCAGCTGGTCCTTTTACTCCGATTGGTCATGAATGTGTTTAAAAGTAAATTATGAGCAAAGAGTAAAATTTTTATCTCTTTTGGTGGTCGAAAATTGCTCCGGTGCGGCGATGGGTGGTGGCAGTCGGTTCCCCAACGGTTGGGTTGTCTTCTCCGGCGAGGGGTTCTGGCGGCTAAGATTAGGGTTTTGGTGCGAATGGGGTTATTTATACTCATCCGTTTTTTATCTGGACCGTCCATCGCTTTTTGATCTGGACCGTCCATCGCTTTTTGATCTGGACCATCCGATCGCGATTAAATAGGGAGTGAATCTGGGTCGTTCATCGCGATTCAATTTGGATTGTCCGTGCGCGATTCAATTTGGGCCGTTCGTGCATGCGGGAACGGATTTTAACCGTTCAATCGCGCGCACGCGGATCGCCCACGTGGCTCCCACCCCCCCCCGCATGGCCTCTCGTGTCAGCGCCTATGCCACCTGATGCGTCCTGGTTGGTCAGGGCTGCTAACCGAGCATCCGACATAACGTAATTTTTTTAATTTACGTTTTGACTCTTAGTTTTTTATTCTTCTTTCAAAAATACTCCTAAAACCCAAGTTTTCATCCCTTTTTCCTAAAATTATTTTTTAGTTAATCCTTAAAGAATTTTTATCCTTTTTTTTTATTAAATTGAAATAAAATAATTTAAAATAAATTAAATAAATAATAATTATATTAAAAAAATAAAAATAAGAAAAATAAAAATGTTGGGTGTTATAAATAATAAACTAATCTACATATAAGTTTTACGTCCCAGCTAAAAAAATTTTTTAGATGTAAATATTAAATTAGTTTAATATTATTTTTAAATATTTAAATTTATTTTTATATTAAATTTTTTTTCTTTTGATCTATTTATATTAATTATTATTTATTAAATATCACTAATGCTGTTCTGGAAATTGTCAACATTGGGACGAGTTAGATACATGACTTTCTAGTTGAATAAATTTTCATCTTAAATTCATATGATATCTAAAGTATGAAAAAATATATTTTTATTTTAATTTATTTTTTAATATAACAAAAAATAAATATTAAAATTAAAAGCATAAAATTTTAAAAATAAATTCTTTCAACTTCTATTGAGAGGAAAAATATTTTTTTAATTTTTTAATCTTCATTAAAAATAATTCAAATTTTGATATTTTTTTTACACATAAGATGTCATATGTAATACCCTTAATTAATTTTAATATATTTAAAATTAATGTATAAATATAATTTTTAAATTTTTAAAATTTTTATTTAATGTAAAAATGAAGAAAAATAGGTAGAAGATGAAACTGAAAATAAGTTTAGAAAAAAAAAAGGTAAAAATTTTGGTTCTAGGGATGTTTTTGAAAGAAAAAT